TTGTGTCTTCTCCAAGAGGTCACCACCCTACCTGGGATTTCACAGTATTTCATGTCATAAAAATATCATTAATCACATTTTTCAAGAATTAGACAGCAAATCAGATCACAGAATTAACTAATCCCTTAAAAACAGCACCAACACCACCTTAGCTGCCAGATGAACACTTTAAGTAGAGGATAGAGAAGAACCTAAAATTATTTTAATATGCTTGTAAAAACCATATATTTAGCATAAAATAAATAATTCTAAGTAATTTTCTAGGTCTTTCTGAATAACTGTCATGCAAATTTTTCTTTCTTTTTTTTTTACCCTCATTTTTTTTCTTTTTTTTTTTTTTTTCCTTACAGAGGCTGCTGGGAAGTTCAAGGTCAGTTTATTCTCCTGGCAGAATTATTTAAACACTGTAGTTCTGGTAAAAATCCTTTCTTGGGATATGGCTTGATGCCCATTCAATTTTCTTATTATGTTCCAATCCACTTCAGGTGAGGAGAGGCAAGTTTTGCCTTGAGCCACAATTGTGAAAAGGAATTAGGTTCTAAACATAGCTGAAAACGAGATTAAAACACAAAAGAGGTTAAATGTTGGGACCCAAAGTGATAATCCAACTTTTATTTCTTGCATAGAAGAGGCAAAAAATAGAAAAGTAGGAAAATATTTGCTAATAGGAGGTTTTGAGAGTGGCAATGTCACATTCATCTCATAGCAACAACAGGGCCACAGAGAAATTAATCTTTGTTCCCTTGAAACTCATTTATAAACAAAGAATCTTACACAGTAGAAGGATAAGTTGTATATTTTGGGGGTCTAAAAAGAGCATGGCAACTGTGCAAAGGAAATTTGAGGGGGGTTAAAATGGTGTTTTAGTTCACATGGGTTTTAACACGTCCCCTTCACTAACAAAATATGAAGCTATTTTCTTAGACCCTTTAACTCCTTTGTGTTTTTTTTTTACTTGGTGCTGGCATTTCATTTTAAATTAAATTTCTTAAATGGGAGAGGGGAATCACACAGCTCCCAAAGAAAATTAAAAAACGTAATTCAGGATTGCACAGAACATTTTAGGCTGAATCACAACAGTTTCATTACTCTTAATTCCTTTGCATGAACAGTTTTTCCTTGTGGAATACTGAGGAATGCCACAGTCCTGCTAAATCTCAGGCAGTGCAATAACCCACAAGAGATGAGAAATCATATTTTGAGCATTAAGCAAAGCCCAGGTTGATTCACAGATCTGTATTTGTCTTAAAATTTGATTTGGCACTGCCAACACTTTTTAGGCAAATTGTCTTTAAAGCAAATTACCTAAAATGAAACCTAAACCTACTGCATTAATTTGTTTTGATGGAAAGTGTGGCCTGAATCTGCTCATCCAGAGCAGCTGTTGAGAAGTAAATAAAATAGAAAAGGAGAAGACAGGAAAACCAAAGGTGAAGCAGAAGAAACAGACATGAAATGAAAGCTACTGCAATAGAATCAAAGAAGCAGGGGCTGAAATGGACAAACTCCAGGAGAATTTATGTTGAAAAGGTACAGGAATAAAAATTATTAGGGCCAAATTCCTGTGTTGAAGGTGAAAATGTCCTGGCACCTCATCAGTGTCCACCTGGATGCAGAATCCCACACCCAGCCCCATGTCCTGGCACCCCCTCAATGTCCCAAAATCCTGCACCTAGTCCCACATCCTGGCACCCCCTCAATGTCCCAAAATTCCACACCTAGTCCCATGTCCTGGCACCTCCTCAATGTCCCAAAATCCCATACCCAGCCCCATATCTTTGCAGTCCCCTCAGTGTCCCAAAATCCTGCACCTAGTCCCACATCCTGGCACCCCCTCAATGTCCCAAAATCCCACACCTACTCCCACATCCTGGCACCCCCTCAATGTCCCAAAATCCCACACCTAGTCCCATGTCCTGGCACCCCCTCAATGTCCCACAACCTCACACCCAGCTCCGTATCTTTGCAGTCCCCTCAGTGTCCCAAAATCCCACATTCAGCCCCATATCCTGATAGTCCCCTCAATGTCCCACAGCCCCACACCCAGCCCCATGTCCCGGAAATCCCCTCAGTGTCCCAAAATCCCACATCCAGCCCCATGTCCTGGCATCCCTTGTCCCCTGGACAACCTGGACACACAATCCCACATCCAGCCCCATGTCCTGGAAATCCCCTCAGTGTCCACCTGGACACCCTGGACACACAATCCCACATCCAGCCCCATGTCCTGGAAATCCCCTCAGTGTCCACCTGGACACCCTGGACACACAATCCCACATCCAGCCCCATGTCCTGGAAATCCCCTCAGTGTCCCACAGCCCCACACCCAGCCCCATGTTCTGGCACTCCCTCAATGTTCCACAGCCCCACACCCAGCTTCATATCTTTGTAGTCCCCTCAGTGTCCCAAAGTCCCACATCCACCCCCATGTCCTGGCAGTCCCCTCAATGTCCCACAACCCCAAACCAGCCCCATGCCCTGGCACCCTCTCAATGTCCCACTGGACACACAGTCCCACACCCAGTCCCATGTCCTCCCTTCACCCCTCTCTGTTCTCCCTGTCCCCCTGGCACCCACAGGTGAAGGATCCTTTCCACCTTGTCCCGTGTCCTCCCTGGGGATCTCTCCCTGCTCCCACCCCCGTGTGTGCTGTCCCCTCATGGCCTCACCAGCCGCCATCACGGGCCTCCATCCCTGTTGCTGTGGGAAATGGCGGCAGCATCCTGGCAGCGGGGTCTCACCCTCTTCCTCCCTCTTCCTCCCTCTTCCCTCACCCCAGACCCAGCAGAGGAGCCTGTGTGTGTATTTCCACCCCCATATTTCAGTACCGTTCCAGGGTTTTAATGGGAATTTGGAGATGTGGGTCCTGCTGGGCCCTGACCATGGAGGTGTCTCAGGGCCTGGACGCGCCCTCAGAGCGCACAGGCCGGACCCAGCAGGCTCCAAACTCGGGGTTAAACTCAACATTCTTAAATTGAAAAAGGGGAAAAATCCCTTCAGAATGAAGTCATGTTTTCCTTGAAGGCTGCACACAATGGGAGTCGTGACCCAAAGCCCTCGGGAATGGCATTTCCACGTGCAGCTCAGTGAGGGTTTCACGTATGAAGCCGAGCAGGACTGAGAATTCATTGGCAATTCTGTCCCAGAATTTGATCGTGAACATTTGGTGTTGCAAATACTTTCTGCTTTGACTTTGATTTTTGTGACTCGTGGATGGTGCTGTGCAGAGCCACAAGTTGGACATGAAAATCCTTGTAGGTCCCTTCCAACTCAGTTTATTCTGTGATTCTCTGATAAATTTTGAACATTATTATCACAAGGCTGATCAATATGCTGTGAAGCCCAGGACCATTTCATCCTTTGGTTGTGCTTCTTCAGGGCACAGAAAACCAAAAATTTGGAAACATTCTATTCCAAATGGCCAGTTCTTTTCCCAGGCTATACTCACATATAAAATCTCCTGGGAAACAAGCATGTGTAATAACTTCAGGCAACAATTATGTTTTCTCACTGGGGTTTTTTTCATGGTTGTTGTTCTTTTTCAGGAAAATACTCTGAAAATATCTGCTTCTAATAGGCTTGTTGCTGGACCTCCTGTTACCCCTCAAAAGTAAAAAAGAAATGACAGATGGTGAGCCACAATAAACTACCCATACTATTATTTTTAGTTTTCAGTGCAGTTTTTCAGGATCCCAGTTCCATACATGGAGTACTGCATTTCCAGCTTAGCATACTGGTTAACACAGACAAAAAACTTCCTTTCAACAGCATTTTTACTCTTTATAAAGAGTAAAAGTTTTACTCTTTTAAAAACTCAACGGCATTTTTACTCTTTATAACTATATAATAGTGTATTTAGTCCTATCTAATAAATTCTAGTAATAAAGTATTATAATCCATTTTAAGTGCTTTCAGAATCAGACATTACTATATTCAATCTTAACATGTGAAATATGTTTTTCTAAAACTTAGTCCAGTTTCACCTCTGGCACAGGGTCAGCTTTACTAAGCTCATGTTGTTCACAGCACAAACAGACTTGGCCCTTAAAATCTGAAAATAATCTGTGACCATTTAACATTCTTCAAATGCCTCTCATGCCCAGAGACCTCCTTTAGCAAGTATGTGCAGGCAGGCACTGAATCACTGTGGTGATTTCTGGGGTAGAAGGTGACAACCAGATGGAAAAAAGGAGGATAACACAAAAAAGGAGTGGATAACATAGGAGAATGGAAATATTTTTTGCTGAGTACTCTGGACCTCTTCTTACATCTTCTTTGATGCAAAAAGGAGGAGAAAATGCACCAATAAGGTTCTGGGTACATCCAGTCAGGCAAATCAGTATCAGGCAGTGTCAGACACACATTTATGTCAGGAAAGTCCCCGAGCCCTGCAGTGTAGGTGATAATCTGAATTCTCTAAAGCCGAGAACGTTTGTAATCAAGGCTTATTTCAATCTGATCTCTGCTATAATTACTGCTGCAGCTTTGCTCCTCTTTGTTTTCCCCTTCCCCTCAAATTTCCATCTACAACTCCAAAGCCTTGTAGTGACCTGGGAAAGCTCTTTCCCATGGCTTTGGGATTGCCCCCAGCACGAAGTCGCCAGCTCCCCGTCCCTTCTCCCTTCTCAGCTGTCCCTTCCCCCTCTCCCAAATACTTCTCCAGCCCTGTCTCATTGGTGCACTACTGTCCCTTGCCTTTTTTGGGCTGCCACCCTGTCAATCTAACGCAGTAAGGCCGGGGGCAGGTGCAAACCCCTCGCTCTGGCTCCTCTTACTGCCCAATCCTCGTCCCAAAATACCCCGGAGCCAATGGAGTGGGAAAAGCCGGGACCCCGAGGAGAGGGAGAGAGGGCAAAGCAGCCGGACCGCAGGGGGGAGGGGGCATCCATTTAGCGCCCGGCTTAGCCCAGGAGCTCAGGGACATTTTGGATTCCTCCGGGGATCCTGGTGACTCGTGGCTAGCAGGGCTGCTCCGCTGATTCACTTCCACCGCTGCCAGCATGGTGATCAAAGTCTTTGTGGCCACATCTTCGGGCTCTACAGCGGTAGGTGACTCCTTGGACATCCTCCTCTCACCGCTGCCATCAGGGTGGGGAATTAGCCTAGGAAATGCCAGGAAAGAGCCTGCATGTGATGAAAAACCCACTGGAATTCTTAGCATTTTACTAGTTTTATTCTGCCCTGACCACCTTCTTCTTGAAAGTTGCTCAAGTTGTAGAGAATTCCTCTCCATGCAGGCTGGCTTGACTGGGAGCTTTTACAAGGTTTACATCTAAATTACCTGTGATTTCATACATTTACTGCTGTTTGGGAAATTATTTGCAATATATATAAAGGAGAAGAAGGAGACAGTGGGTATTGTATTTGTGCAAAAGCGACGCTGGACTGTTTACAGAAGAAAATTAAGTGTTTGTTTTTAAAAGAGACTTTAGGACACTGCTCCTGCAAAGGGGGAACTCTGCCTAAGAAAGAACCTGGAGCTGGATGAAGTTAGAAAAACTTATTTCCCAAGCCCCTTCTTTTCCTGGGTTTTGGGAGATATTTTGTTTACTTGGTGTTTTCTTTTTGGTTTTGTTTGTGTTTGTTTGTTTGGGTTTTCTGGTTTTTTTCTTGTTTGTTTTTTTGGGGATGGTTTAATTGTTTATGTTTGTTTGGGTTTTCAGGTTTTGTTTGTTTGTTTGTTAGTGTTTGGTTGGGTTTTTTTAGTTGCGTTTTTTTTTTTTTTTGGTGTGTGTGTGTGTCTGTTGAAATGCTATACTGATGATTTTTAGCATTGAGATCTACTGCTGTAGCTGTCAGCAGAGAGTATCAGCTGAAGGGAAGGGCATGTGAATAGTAGGGAGGTTGGAAGTCCGTGGGAGGTGGGAACCGGGAAAGGACTGTTTCCTTTTATATCCAGTGCCCAGAGGAGCTCCGGTTGCAGTTTTCCTTTGGCGCTCCCTCCCTCTCCCTCCCAGTGACAAGGCCAAACAAACTGCCTGGGGCTTGCACAGAGCTCTAACTACATCTCTATCTCCCTGACACCAGCTGCATTTCTTTAAGAAGATTCCAGAGTGGAAAAGCTCCAAAAAACACCCCTCATTTATGTGACCATCATCTGTAGGAAATGAACCAAGGGTCCTCCACTGAAGTTCCACTTGGAATGCTGCTGAGGAAGTTTGCAGTTCTCTCACCAGCCTGTTCCTAAGCCTTACATTCTAAAATTACTATTGATATTTAGCATTCTTTTAATTTTTTTTATATTTTATTTTAATAATAAACTTCAGATACAAGAAGAAAAAAAAAGAAGAGAAAGTTGGGAATTTCAGGTTTGGTAGCTCGCAATTTATAATGAAACATTCACTTTATAAATATCCATGTGCTGTGCATGGGCACTCTTCTCGCTCCTGTTTGGCCTGTTTTGATCTGGAGACTCCAAAAGAAAATTATGGAATCTTCACAGGGCAAAATTCCTCTGTATTTGCTCCCTTCTGGTGTGCTGGGTGTGTGTATATCTGTAGCAATCTCAGCATGGGTTCAGATCACTGATTCTGAATTGCAATGCCAAGTACACCTGAAGCATTTTCCACATTTTCTGGTCACTATGGATGGAAGGTATCCTTTCAAGGAACCTTTAATGAGTTCTGGTATATATAAAATAAAATTCACCCACACAGAGGGTTAGCACAAACCTCAATATATCACTAAAATCCTATTAAATAGAAACTTTGTATCAAGCATGTACAGCTTTTCCTGAGGGGAATTAATTTAATCCCTAAACAGTTTAAATTGGAAGCTTAAATTGTCCTATTAGTACTGGTGAACTCTTCAAATTTGGTGGCTGGTCCCATCAAATGCATGGTGTTGATTTTGAATTCAGTATAATATGGGCCCAGCCACTGGTGTAAATCAGCAAAGGATCATTGGCAAAGAATGAAAAATTCTCTATTTTATGTACTACATGGTCACCCTAGTCACTGCAAGTGGTTTTCATGTTAACAAATAGTCTGTGCAAGTGAATGCAGTGAACCCAGTGACATTCTGGTGCTCTGGATCAGATGCAGGAGTGTTATAATTCACTGTGGCTCTGGAGCAAATCTGCACTCTGTATTTTTCCCCTTGATGCTTCAGAAATTTATTTTAAATATCTCCAGCTTTATTATCTTTCTGCTCCAGACTTAGCTGATATTGAACTATTCATTAAGGCAGGCAGAAGTGGAGACACTTATTTATAGCACTAAAAAGCACTAAATGCTTGGCTTGGAGCAAACAATAAAAAAAAATAAAATAATGCTAGTCACAGGGATGTTTAGAATTTAGAATCCTGCAAGATTCTGAATTATGGGAGAAAGAGGATTCATGTCTCACAGAGGACATCTTACAGTCTTGCTTCCTGCTGCTTATGGTTATGACACCTCTAAAATACTTCTATTTCCTCTGGTTTGATGACATTTTATGAATTTCCCCCCCTTCAAATCAGCATCAAAAGCAGCATAACCAGCAGGGCAAGGGAAGGGATTGTGCCCCTGTGCCCTGCTCAGGTGATTCCCCACCTGCAGAGCTGCCCCAGGCCTGGCCCAGCCCAGGGAGGAGCTGGAGCTGCTGCAGAGAGCCCAGAGGAGGCTCCAGGATGGGCAGAGGGATGGAGCAGCTCTGCTGGGAGGAAAGGCTGGCATAGCTGGGATTGTTCACCTGCACAGGAGAAGCTTTGGGCTGAGCTCAGGGTGGCCTTGCAGGGCCTGCAGGAGCCCCAGGAAAGCTGGAGAGAGACAATTTCCAGGGCATGCAGGGACAGCACCCAGGGAATGGCCTTAAGATGAAGGAATAAAGGGTTAGATTAAATATTAAGATTAAATATTTTCCTGTGAGGGTGGGCAGGCCCTGGCACAGGTTTCTCAGGGAATCTGTGGCTGCCCCTGATCCCTGGAAATGGAAGGCTGGATGGGGCTTGGAGCAGCTTGGGATACTGGAAGGTGTCTCTGCCCATGCAGAGGGTTGCAGTGAGATGATCTTTAAGGTCCCTTCCAACCCAAACCATTTTGTGATTCTGTCATCCAACCTGGCCCTGAACACTTCCAGGGATATGAAATCCACAGCCTCTCTGGCAGTTCTTACACTCTAGCTAGATAACATTTATTTAAAACAATTTTTTAAAATTATTATTTTAAGGAACTAGTAGCTAGGGATGGTGCGACTCAAGCTTTGCTGAAAGAAAAACTGGCATTGCTGAAATAATATCCTGCTCATCACCACTTTCCAAGTAATCTATGCCCAAGTAATTTGAATTCTTCCCATGCCACCAGGCAAGGGAGGGCACAAACAAGCCCCTGCAGACTCATCCATTCTGGGAAAGCCTTTGCATGTCCTTTGTGTTGTTACACCCTAAATTTCCCTCTGTGAGTGCTGCTTCCTGGAGAGATTTTTTTGGTTGCTCACTTAGTGCCACCCACAGCAAAGATTTGCTTTGTGGTTTCACACTCGGTTGTGTCCCGAGTCTTTTGCTCTGCCTAAACCCCAGTAATGGTGAGCCCTAAGGCACAGCACATCCTCTTGTGAAAAATGTGTATTTCCTGATTGGCTTTTCACAAATATTGACATGAATATTATATGTGTTGGGTTAGAAAGTAATGCTGTATTAATCCTCTTAACTAGTGTGTTAAATATAGTTTTGGGTTATAACAAAATGTTAAAATAGAAACGATGCTATGTAGGATACTTTTTTAAAGAAAGGGCTTGCAGTGAGACAGCAGCCACAGGACACCTGAATCTGTCAGAGAAAGAGAATTTATTGCTCCATTATCAGGAGAAATGAACTTTTTCCCGCCTCAAAGGCACTGCTAGGATTCAGAGGAAGAAGTTGACAATGACCAGACAGAATCCTGTGTGTGAATGGAATTTATGCATCATGTATGAAGTGTATGAATATGCAACAGGCTGTTGCTTTTAAGGGTTAATCCTTTGTTAATATGTGTCCTTTTCCTGGTTTGTGCTGCCCAGAAAAAGGTACCTGGACGTCTGTAACTCATTGTTTCTATTGTCTCATATTGTCCTAATCCAAATTGTCCAAATTATTATTACTCTAATTGTATTACTATTTTGATAACCATTTTATTACTGTTAAACTTTTAAAATTTTAAAAACAAGTGATTGGCATTTTTCACACTCTGCTCTGTTTATCTCATTGTCATGTCAGAAGCTCCTTACCTTTTCCTTAAGCAGGATAACTCCATGAAACTTCACTGCTTTACCTCAGCATTAATTTTTTCAGGCAATTTTTTGCTTTCAGTCCTGGTGCTGCCTGAGCCTCCTCCTATGCATTATGAACGTCAAGCTGAAGAGAAATTAAGCCAGGTTTAAAAGTGAGAGCTTTCCTAAGCAGGGGTGCACAGAATCTCTGGCTCCGTTATCTCCTCAGAGGCAGCGTCAGTCTGGAGCAGCAGTTATTCCAGGAGCCCTATCTCCTGCAGGGCCTGTGTCCAGAGGGACAGGCTGACCCTGCAATTGCAGCTGACAGCTCTTGAGTGGCCTGGCTCTCAGAGCATGTGGTGTTACTCCTGCTGCTGGCTGCTGCTGGTTTTATTAACCATTTATACAAACATTATCCTGCCACTTCCTCCAGTGAAATGGCCCTTGAGCAATCCTTTCTGTTGCCTGAATGTCTTCTGTAAATAACTCTGCAGCTAAACGGGCAGTAATGAGATTATTTCTGTTTAAAAAGAGAAAATAAGAGTAGAAATAAGCAGCTTTGAACTCTGTCAGCTGCATGGCTTTTGACCACTTTGGATTAGTGTTTTCATTCAAAGCTCACTGCAATTCTTTAGCTCTCTGCAAACCTCTGTTGTTGTCACAAAAATGTACAGAATTTTATGTTTGTTATTTTTATAAGCAAGCCTGTGTATTGATAGATGTTTCTTTGCTTGTACAAGGAAAAGAAATTTTATCTACTCATGAGAATTCATCTTTCCAGGATAATAGGCTATCACTCTACTTCAGCTCTTCTGTTTTATTAGATTATGGAAATACATAATCCCTGATTTACTTCTCATCTCATTGCCTGTGCCTCTGATTCACACTAGCTTGGTGTCACTTCAATTTCAGGTGTTCAGATGTCTGACATATGGAGGACATGGTTTCAAATCACAAGATACAAAAATTACCTTGATGCCTCATTCCAGCTGTGTCTGGTGGCAAGTTCTTTAAAAGCTGCTCAGGAGCAGCATTGCTTTAGTAGGGAAATTCAGTGAGTGTTACATTTTCAGAGTAAAGGGATGGGGTATAAGCTCAGTGCCTGCACAGAACCAGCATCAGAGAGAATAAAAGGGTCATGAGTGAATTTTAGGTGTCACAGAAGCTGTGTGTAACAAGCTTTATTTGTACATAACATGTTATTTGTGGTCCAGCTGGAATGTCATTCTGTAATGGGGGATTTGTTTAAGCACAGGAGCTCAGCTGTGCTGGATTTTCTTGAGCCTTAACTCATATTTATATATTATATCTCAAGGAGCAATGGCCATTCACTCAAACACAAGAAATTCCACCTCCACATGAGAGGAAGAACTTTTTTACACTGAGGGTGGGAGAGCCCTGGAACAGCTGCCCAGGGAGAACAAGGAGTTTCCTTCTCTGGAGACATTCCAAACCCACCTGGACACTTTCCTGTGTCACCTGCTCCAGGTGACCCTGCCTTAGCAGGGGGTGGGACTGGAAGATCTCTTCTAATCCCAACCATTGTGTGATTCCGATTCTATGAAATGTATTTTTGCCTAACATTAAAGAACAAGGACAAATGTGGTTCACAGGAAGTTGAATGTCACTTGTGATTGGGAGGAAGAAGGAGGCTGTAACATGCTGAGGAAAATTTGTACATTTTCTGACCTTTGCTGGCTTCAGGCAGGAGCACCATAGGTATCTGTACACCACATTCCCAGATCTGGGAACACAGTAGGAGGCTTCCTGCTGAGCCTCATTTCTCAGCTGGAGTTGTCACTGCATCCAGAGAGCAAAGAAGGAAGCTGGGGGGTGGGTGTGTGATGGGAGGGATGTAGTGGCAGCACTCTGGGTGCTGACAGAAAGTGTTGAATCTCAGCTTCAAAAAGTTTGAGGGCTACTGGAGAAGTGAATACCACTTCAGGAACGTCCAACTTTCAGGAAGAATTTTTCCATGGAAAAAGAATTGGAACAGGCTGCCAGGGAGGTTTGGAGTCCCCATCCCTGGAGGTGTCCAAGGAATAACTGGATGTGGCACTCAGAGCTCTGGGCTGGGGACAAGGTGGGGATTGGCCAAAGGTTGCACTCCATGATCTTGGAGCCTTTTCCAACCTAAAAGGTTCTCTAAACTTGACAAACTTGCCTGAATTCTTGTAACAGCAGTTGCTCTTAGAAAACCCTTACAATTTTAAAGAAGGAATGTTGTTCTCCCTCTCTCCTACCCAGATAAAAAAGAAACAGCAAGAAGTCGTGGGCTTTTTAGAGGCCAACAAGATTGACTTCCAGCAAATGGACATAGCAGGAGATGAGGACAACAGGAAATGGATGAGAGAGAATGTCCCAGGTGAAAAAAAGCCCCAGAATGGAATTCCCCTCCCTCCACAGATCTTCAACGAGGAGCGGTACTGTGGGGTAAGAAGCTGTTGGGAAATTTAAATATTTCAGAGAGTGGTTTCTCACAGAAAGGGACTCTTTTCCATTAATAGGAAGTGTCAAACAAACTCCTTAAAACAATTTGAGTTCACTGTGAGAGAACAATTCTCGGGAAACAGTTTTGAAGCACAGAAAAGCAACGAAACAGAAGATTATTTATTTTTGAGAGCAAAATATGCATGGAGGGAAAACTGGCTGGAGAAAGTTCTTGAAGTTTCAGTTAATTTTGATAAAGAGTGTTGATATTTTGTTTGTTTGGACTTATCAAGGACATCAAGTAGATATCTGAGGTACCAAAAACTGGGAATAGGAATCTTCTTTTTCCATTATATTATACAAATAAATAGGAATGTTTGTTTGCTGGAATAGTTCTAGAATGTGGTTTGAATTAGTGTAATTATATTGCTTATTCAATAAATATCCAACTCTTCATAACAGCAACTGTAGCACTCATCAGATGGTTTTATATTTTCATATGTGCCTATAACAGGCTCCTTCTCTTGAGACAGTTTGTTCAAAGCAGAGAAAGATAATAATGTTCCAGCGTGAATATTAGGACTGTGAATCAAAAGAGATAATCTGAGACCTTTTATTTTCTCCCAGTCTGGGTGCAAATGCCCAGTCTGGAAAGTGCTGAGATGTGCTGGCTGGAATGAACCTGCAAAGTGCTCTGGAATGCAGGGAACACAGTGAGCCTGGTTTGCAGTTACACAAATCCAGTGTGAACTCCTGCAAGGTTGTACTGGGGCAGCAGGGATTTTCACACCACAGTTTGCAGAATCAACTTCAGTGCTCTCAAAGCAAAAGTTCATAATATGAATATTGGAGTGCAGCTGTTTCCTCATTCTCTCATAGAATTCCTAGGAGAGAAGTTGGTGTGTTGGAGCTCATGTGCATTTCAGCAGCCAATCTGTACCAATAAAAAGTATAATTTGATATATCTTACTCTGGATTTTGTGGCAGGCAGTGCTGCAATAAATATTTCTGATGTTCCTTAGAGAAGTATATAAGGAATTAAAGAATAATTGCCTTATAAAGTGTTGCAACTGGTCAGTCTTGACAGTAAATGATAAATACACAGTTTTTACTACGTGTCTGAAGCTATTTCAGGAAGCCAAATAATCTACATATTGAAATAAATTCAAATGAAGAAATACTCCTTTGCAAAAACACCTCCATGGGGAAAGAAGTTGCAGCTACTGATTTAAAAACTGAATCAAATTTACAATTAGTCTAAAAGTCTCCAGAATTCTAATGTGCCCAGCTCTCAAAGCTCAGAGCTAATGATCCCAGTGGGTGCCTAACAAAGCCTAATTTATGGCATCATTATTTCCAAATAAATAAGGTAATGAGATTCATGTCATTGCATGAGCCTTACCCTTCTCCCCAGGGGAAGGTGCCTCGAGGGAGCTGCACAGGGAGTGGGATGTGGGCTGAGAACATGGCCAGGGGCTGCCAAACTGCTGCAAAATCCTCCCAAGTGACATATTCTACAATCAAACCCTGGGGATTTGCATTCTGCTTCCCTGCACAGCCTGTGCAGGGCCAGCAGAGCCATCCAGAAATCCAGAATTGTTTTAGGCTGGTGGATGTTTATCTGATGCATCTTCTCCTGTGTCCCACTCCTTTGGCCTCAGTCATTTTATTAAAAACATCCCTGAGGATTGCAAGGGTCTGTGTGACTCCAGTGTAGTATCTTGAATTCATGAAGGTACTTTTAAAATATATTGCTCTCATCAGTTTTTAAGGGCTTCACTCTTGTGGCACCTAAAAACCTTTGAATTTGTAGCCTGGCTAAATGCAGGCAGTTCATTCCCATTTCTGCTGTGCCCAAATCACCCTTTATCTTCAACAGCCCAATCCAGTATATTTGTAAATGGGAATTGTATCCTCTATTAATCTTCATTTTGCTGAGCTAAACAACTCAAGCTCTTTACACCTCTTTCATTATTTTGAAAGATATTTTCCCTTTCTCCTTCCTGCTAATTTTTATTTTCTTCTTTCACAGTCAGTCCTTTTTTTATTTGTTTTTTTTTTTTAAGATCAAATCTGTTACATTTAATTTTTCCCCATTCTTCTCTCTTTTCCCACATTTCCCTTCTTATCAATGGTCTTATCAGTTGTTCTTATCAACGTTTGGTTCCCATTCACACATGTGTACTGTGTACACATTGCATCATGATGGCCTGGGAGATCTGGCCTTGGGAGATAAAAAGCCAAGATTAAATATTTCCTTTCTTAATCTGAGAAAGAGGGGTTTGGAGACATGACAACCTCCAACTGCAAAGGGCTGTGGCAAAAAGTGAATTATTGGTCTGAATTCAGTATTGACCCTGCTTTGAGCTGGAGGCTGGTCTAGGTGGTCTCTTGAGGTTTCTTCCCACCTGAATGATCTAGGATTTTGTAAAATATGTTTTTGTAAAATGTGTTCTGTTCTACATCCACTGGAGGTGGGATGAGCTGTATGAGAGGAAAATACAGCAAAGAAAGTTCAAGTCAGACATCAGAAAATAGTCATTTTCAGGAGATCACCTCATTATCTCATTAAAGGTGGGTCAGAACCAGTGGATCAGAGTGATGCAATGATTCCTGCCTTGGAGGAATGGTCCTTTGGGACCTTGTCCAGTGTCCTCTTCTGCAGTTCAGTGAAATTTTTGGAGTGGTGGAAAGGAAAGGGGGACAGGTGAGGAGTCTTCTGTTTGCTAGAATAGAATGATGTAATAAGAAAGCAAAACCCTCTGCACATCTGCTTTTCTGCTGATACATTTTCTGTATCTTTGTTTTCTGGGTGACCATGAAGAGCTGCTCCACTCCACAGCTTGTTCTGTAAAGTGGAGGATTCTTACAGATGGATTTTTATAAAGATACACTGCCTGGGAGCAGCGTTTCCACGAGGTCAGAGAAGCATAAAACTATAAAATAGTTGATAAAATAGCTGAGATCTTATTTTTCTCCCAGATCTTTGGTATTGCCACTTGAAGAAATAGATTAGAAATTGATTTGTTTTGTATGCCTGGCTACAGCACCAATTTCAAGTATCCATTCTAATCCAACAGTGCTGGCAATTATGTCCTCATTTGATCTTTTCCTTAAGCTGCTTCTTTGCTCATGTCTAGACAGACGTCTGCATCTGTGTCACTTGCTAAATATACTGAGCACTCTGTTGCTCTTGTCTTTTCTTTTGCTTGACAAAAACCCTTAGAAAACTAGGAAAGAAAGGAGATGTAAACATCTGGTTTTCTTTGTAAGCTGAAATCTCTGCTTTCTTCTGTAAACTGAGGTCTGTAGAATAAAGTACCCTTGTATGTACTTTAAAAAACATCTCTGAATTATTAGGTAGGGCTTTTATTTGATGTTAGAATGTGCATTTGCAGCCCAGAAAACAACTGTGTCCTGAACTGCATCCAGAGCGGTGTGGGCAGAGGTGAGAGGGAGATTCTGTCCCTGTGCCCTGCTCAGGTGATTCCCCACCTGCAGAGCTGCCCCAGGCCTGGGCCCAGCCCAGGGAGGAGCTGGAGCTGCTGCAGAGAGCCCAGAGGAGGCTCCAGGATGGGCAGAGGGATGGAGCAGCTCTGCTGGGAGGAAAGGCTGGCACAGCTGGGATTGTTCACCTGCACAGGAGAAGCTTTGGGCTGAGCTCAGGGTGGCCTTGCAGGGCCTGCAGGAGCCCCAGGAAAGCTGCAGAGAGACAATTTCCAGGGCATGCAGGGACACAGGGAATGGCTTCCCAGTGCCAGAGAATAGGGTTAGATTAGCTATCAGGAAGAAATTTTTCCCTGTGAGAATGCTGAGGCCCTGGCCCAGGTTGTCCAGAGAAGTTCTGGCTGCCCTTGGATCTCTGGAAGTGTCCAAGGCCAGGTTGGACGTTGGAGTTTGGAGAAACTTGGGACAGTGGAAGGTGTCCCCGCCCAGGCTGGAATGAGATGATCTTTATGGTCCCATTCCAACTCAGGCCATTTTATGATTCTATCATTTATGTAACTGTGTATCTTTATAACAATCCATTTGTAAGAATCCTCTACTTTACAGAACAAGCTGTGGAGTGGAGCAGCTCTTCATGATCACCCAGAAAATAATATAAGTGCTAAAGTCACATTTATGAAAATGCAGGGACCTCTGGAGGTTTGTAGTCCAGCCTGCTACTCAGAGCAGGTTAGCTTTAAAGTTAGCTTATATTGCCTGGGGCTTTGGCCATCTGAATTCCAAAAGACTCCAAGGATGGTGTTTCCATGCTCTCTCTGTTTGCTCTGACCTGGTGCTGTTCCTAGCACTGGATGGAAGAATTTTCTGCTGATGTCCACTTGACAAATTGCACCACTTAGACCATTTATGTCTTTTCATACAGATAAAATAGAATTGCTTACCTGAAGTAAATTGCTCCTGCTTATTTTTCTTACTGCCTGCCATGGGAACAGTTATCTTTAGTCATTCAGCAAATGGAGATGTGAACAAGTCACCATTAGTAAAGCATGGCTGCAAATACACCATAAAAACCATTCCATGATCACTGGAGGCTTTCCTTTATCTCTTATTCAGTACATGACAGCTTCCTCTTCAGTGTGAGGAAATAAGTGACCTTCCATTTACTGTGGAATATCATTGCACACTCCCTGTTGCCAAGGAGCCCCTGATATCATAGAAGATTATACCCACTTCTGATAAGGACTGATAAGGACTTGTCTGGTCATTCATACATTTTACTTGTGTCCTCAGGTCTGGTTGTCTGCAAGGCTTTATGTTTCTGGAGGATTTTAGTACACTTGCCATGGGCTACTTTTCCTCAGAAAGGCATATAAAATATCAAATCCACTTCATGGCCTTTTCTTGTTGTTGTCTTCTCTTTGTTCCCCAGCTCTTGCCATGTCATGTCATGGTTGGCTCAGGCTGCTTTGAGTATGGAAATTTCCTGTGTTTGTGTGGCCGTGTCAGCCCTTCAAATTGCAGAAAATCCTCATTTTCTTGTTTGCTGAAAAAAAAATCCATGACCCAGTCCTAAATCCATGAGCCAGATGCAGACACTGCCTGGCTTGGATGAGAAGGTGGTCTGAGAAATGGGTGGCCTGAAGCAGCAGCAAAATGTGCTCCAGGGCTTCTCCCAGCCAGAGCAGTTCCCCCTGGGTGTGACTGTGTGAAAGCCAATCTGTCCCTCAGATAAATCACTGAATTGGGCTCTCATTTGTCCTGTCTGTAATGCTCTTCCAAACTGCACTGAAATGTCATCAATTCCACTCTTGTTGGCATTAAGGTGACTTCAAAACCATCCACCCCAGCCTTTCCAATAATTTATACTCTGGAAATACTAAAACAGCTCAATAAAACAACTCAGCTCCTAACCTGGCTTTACAAACAAGTCTCAAGGATGATTCAGCACCTTATTATTTACAGGCTTCTATTCTTGGAGGTATTTGGGATTAGAGGAAGGATGATAACATGATCAAGGCAGCAGGGTAGGACTCAGCAGGACATGTTCAGTCCCCTGTCTCAGAGCTGGCTGTGATTCTGGGCCACTCACTTCTGGCTGCAGATTCTGCTGGAACTTAAATATTTGTTGATTTTTACCTGTGTAAGATGTGAGCTGTGAAGTGCCCAGTGATAAAAGTAGTGATAACAAAACTTCCTTAATTGGTACAGGTGAAAGCAGTGAAGGGCATGCAAGCTGCAGCTGGCAGGATAGGAGGCATCCCTGGTCTTCTCAGTTCCATTTCCACTGAAAACAGGCATTTAATGTAATGATTTATAATTTCATTTCACCAGTGCACAAGGCATTTTGGCAGGTACATGGATATCAGAGAGAACAGCACAACCCTTTCCTATGCCTTTCTTTAAAATGAAGTTTCCTTGTTGCCATTTCACTTGAGCTATCATGTTGACTGTTGCCTTTTATTTGCCATAAAGAAGTTCCAGGGTATTTTGTGTCCTTACTCACAGCAAGTTTTATTTTAAATTTAAAGGGAATAGCTTTGCCTTGGTGTGTACAGCTGAGGCACGTTAAAATGAGACACTTAATTTTATCTGATTCTGCCATGGATGGGATATAATTAAAGTGTAAGTCTCTGGAGAGATTTGCTCATTTATTCATTTTGCCACTCTGTGTGAAACTCCCTTTATCTGTGTTTTCTTCCTGGGGCTTGGATAATGCAGACAATTGTACAAATGCATGGTCATTCTCATCTATGTAGGATTTGCCTGGGCTGGCCTCTTCTCCTGTGCTTTTTGTTTCATTTTTGATACCAATTCTCTGTTGTTTGTTTGTTCCTTTCTTAGGATTTTGAATCCTTTTTCTCTGCCAAGGAAGAAAATATTATTTATTCGTTCCTGGGCCTTGCTCCTCCTCCAGGCACAAAGGTATGCACTTCTGTCCTTCCATGGGGATCATTTATTTGATTTTAATAAAAGATGAACATTGGCAGTGACTCAGCATGTCACTTAAGAGGCAGTGGCAAGCACTATGTTAGATGTTGGAGCAGCAAAGTGTTCTTAGGGGGAAAAAAAGTGGCTGGTTCAGTAAATAGTAGAAAATATTATTTCTTGCCTTCTTTCACTGCAGGCTCGTTACCATGGCTCCAGCTGATGGGTTTGTTGTTGTTGATACAAAGAGTGTTTTATTATGTTCAGCTTTTAAGTGTTGCAGACTCCCTCACCCGATTTCTAGGTGGTGCTGGTCACAAGAAGCCTTCCCTTGCTCCTGAGCACATTGGGCAGGGCCAGTCCTGGCCCCCAACACAGAGCTGGGATCAGACCCATTCCATCCTTCCCTGGCACCATGGAACTCTGTCCCCCTGCCTGCAGGAGGAAAGGGCTCACCCAGTCCTTCACCAAGCCCCTTTGGCAAGTCTGCCTGTGGTTCTCCATCACATTTTGACAATGTTCTAATACATTCCTGGCAAAAGAAATACATTTTATTTTGTTGGGGTTTTTTTTGGTTTTTTTTTTTTCCCCCGGTGTTGTTTTTTACAGAAACCAATGTGTTTTTTCTTTATTAGAATCTTCTTCTAATTAGAAGTTTTATAACTGAGACTGTTACAGCTCTGCTATCCTGAGCTCATAAAATATTGCCATCTTTAACGTGGGTGAGCCAACAAAAGAAATTAATCAAGAGAGTGATGAGCCAGAGCCACAGGAGAGCTCTGCTGCATTGTGGTGACCTGGCTGGGGAAGTGCCTGGGAGCAGGAGATCTGCCTTGGTCCAACTGCAGCAGCTTTGAGTGAAAAACACCATTGGAAATGTTTCTTTATCCTCTTCTGTAAAAGCAGAGGAAAAAAATAAAGGAGCCTTTTCTAAATGCTTTGAGAGCCACAGCTGAAAACACACTCAGGGGTGTGTTTTAAATATCCCAGTTGTTATAAATGTCTTTGCCACGGAGTCCCTGCATGATAAGGAGAGTGATTTAAACTTTCTGCTTTAGCTGAGCCATCTCCCACCCAGGGAAATAAAAAATGACTTGCCTACCTCACAAGGGTCTTGTGAGAATTCATTTAATTAACATCCACAAAGCCATGAAAGGCTTAAAGGACTGCAGGTATTACATATTATAGTCATTATGAAAGATATGTGGAGAATCAGTGAGATAAAGAAAATTGCATTTTTCCACCTTCCCACTCCACAGATTATCTGCTTCTTCATGCAAAGTCCTGGTAGATTCCTTATCTGTGAAGCAAAGTAACAATTTTTCAGAATTCATTTGTTCCCAGCTGTCAGCAGAGGCTATTACAGTTTCTACTTCGTGACAACCTTGGAAATGTTGAAAATAACATGTTTGGTGCATTCTGCTGGGCAGATTTGTTTGTCAGTGCCATTGGTAGCAGGCAAGTCTTGTTTACAGTGATTAACTGCTGCCTTGGTGGTGGCTTCAGGCCAGAGAGCACAAATAAGTGAGAGTGTTTGTAAAGTCCCTGTTAAATGTGGAATTCTGACAGTCTCCCTTTGAGAGTCTATTCCTGTTTGTGAGAGACACACACACACTTCTTGCAGAGGTGTTTCTCAGCATCTTCACTGCAGGAGAGGCTGCCTGCTTTGTCAAGAAAAGAATTCTCCTGCTCTGCTTCTGCTTCTCTTGCTGCTTCCCCCTCATTCCCTGCCAGCTCCACCTTAGATAAGCACAATGGATGGCTCGTGACACTGATTTCCAGCAGCATAAATCTGGAATCATAAATCAGGTGTGGAAGAGATGGTGATGGTGACACATATGACAAGGTTTCCTATTAATCCCTTCTTAAAAAAAATGTGTGGGCTTTGGGTTTTTTCTATTCTGGAATGAAGAAGCAAACTATAAGGCATGGAATCACCACAAGGCAGTAAGCATTTTCTTTCTAGAGATCTTTACTGTGCTGAGACATGACAAAGATTAAGATGAAGCTGATACCTGTTTGATACTCTTGTCTTAAAACATTCTGTTTCTTTTTCCATCCGTCTTTTATCTCATACTGCACCAAGACTAAAGAAATTCTTTACTGGCCATGGTGCTGTTTCACAGCACAATCCAGCAGCCTCCTGACCAGGACTGTGTTGAGCTTATTTCCCTCCATCTGAGGAAGCAGATGAACCTTTTGGGGCTCCCTCAACAAATTATAACTTCCCAACAAAATACTTGTAGTTCAATTTATTGCCAATTCATTTCCATTGCTGAGTGCAAAATACACATTCAGTTCTGCAGATTCTCTTGTTCTGTTGTTTCCATAAATTAGTATATTCTGTATATTAGAGTGCTTTATCCAGGCCTGGGCCCAGCCCAGGGAGGAGCTGGAGCTGCTGCAGAGAGCCCAGAGGAGGCTCCAGGATGGGCAGAGGGATGGAGCAGCTCTGCTGGGAGGAAAGGCTGGCACAGCTGGGATTGTTCACCTGCACAGGAGAAGCTTTGGGCTGAGCTCAGGGTGGCCTTGCAGGGCCTGCAGGAGCCCCAGGAAAGCTGCAGAGAGACAATTTCCAGGGGATGCAGGGACAGGACACTGAAAATTTACAAGTTCAGATCAGATTTTAGGAAAAAATTCCTCCCTGTGAGGAGGGACAGGGTGCCCAGAGCAGCTGGGGCTGTCCCTGATCCCTGGAAATGTCCAAGGCCAGGCTGGATGGAGCTCTGAGCACCCTGGGATAGTGAAGGTGTCCCTGCCTGTGGAACAAGATGATTTTTAAGGTCCCTTTCAACCCAAATAATTCAGTGATTCTCAGAATTCTGTGATTGTATCACACCAAGTACATCTATTGCCTTAAAGAGTGCAATGTGCCCGTAAAATTGAATGACTTTACAGGAAACAAATCCATATTTGTGCTGCTTCACCAAGGGTCTGCTCCCTCCTGACCACAATGGCTTTTGTGTTTTCTAAAGCACCACTTAGCAGGGCTGAGCAGAACAATTGTCTGTGCCTGAGAGAAGCAGCAGATGTAGTGCTTGTGTTAATAAGTAATTTAATCTATTAATACCAAACACCTCCTCACCTGAAGGAATACCTGGTCTAGATGAGTTCCAAACCTGGTTCAGGGCAGGCTGAGATTTAAGGGCAGCTGTGCCTGACCCAAAGATCACTCAAATTTGTGACAGATTTCTGAGAGGTCCTGTTTAATCCTGGATTAGTGGCCTGAGTAATGATGTCCCAATAGGATACATGTGTTGATCTGAGCTATAATTGGTGTAGTTTGTGTGTTTGGGGTCAGGTGTGGCAATCGCAGCTGCCTCAAAAATTTGGTACATTTTTTTAAAACTGGCACCACTTTTATGCTTAGTCTGACTCAGTGAACTCAGTGATTCATGTGATTTCAGGGTCTGTTTTCAAATATTGTGCACACTTGAAGCCTTAATCCCACTATTCTTGATCTTAATATCCAGAATCTTGATATCCCCAAATCTGTAGATACTCAAGCTTAAGTTAGTGGAAAAAAGGCTTCTCCTAAATCTGCTTTGAATTACAAATTTGTGCTATGTGCATTTTATTTAAAGAGAAAATGACCTGTCAGCCAATCTTTAGAAATGGTACTTCATTTTGAATTCGCTGAAAATTAAATTCTGTGTTTCTATGGAGAGCCAGTGTGGCAATGCTGTTCTGAATGTCAGAGTTCTCCATATAATTAACAAGAACTCTGTGTGTGTGTGTGTGTGTGTGTGTGTGTGTGTTCTGGATGATAACATGCTGCTTCTAGAGTTTAGTTCTCTCAGCTACAACTCTTTTTTTTTTTTGTGTCTTATGATCTAAGTATGTGATTCCTCTGAGATGGATTCACACAAAAGGGTCATTTTAATTAGGATGATCTCTGTGGTTCTTATGTATTTTATGTCCCAGCCAAAAATACTGAGTGTATGGATTTTAATGAAATGTTAATATTTGTGCTGAAAATAAATATTTAACCAATTTCAAGACCAGGTTGGATTGGGCTCTGAACAACCAGGTCTAGTGGAGGGTGTCCCTGCCCATGGCAAGGAGGTTGGAAAGAGATGATCTTTAAGGTCCCTTCCAACCCACATCATGGTCAGTGATTCTATTAATTTAATTTTCATTAACACTGTCCTTTTCATTTGAGGAACTTCTGCAAAGAAAGTATCTGTAGGAAGTTGCCATTTCCTTAAGAAAATCATGTATTAACACAATGTTGCACGAGAGAATTTCAGTGTATGTTTGTGTTACTACATATTTCAATCTTCAAATATTTTTTGGCTTCTGGGAGAAAAGTAAACAATAAACCAAGCCAAACAAATGTCTCTGTAGATCTGTTTTTAATAACAATGCCACCAGCAGCAGAGTGCAGTGAGCCCACAGTTTTTATGTGCACTTGAAATGAGACGATATTGCCAGAAAAAGAAATTCTCCTTTCTCCCTCCTCCTTCCTCTGGCTCCTTCTGCTCCCTCCCAGCTGCTCATTCCTCTCCTCAGCATCCCCCACGTGCTGGCAGCAGCACTTGTGCAGCTGTGTGACAGAGTGTGAAAGGGCTGTGAGGTAGGAAAGTTTTGCTTTTTCAAGCTCTCATCCTGATCAGCTCCTGCTCCACTTCCAGAGGAAGGAGAGCTTAGGGACCTTTGTGCCCACTCTCTCTTCCCTGCAAGGAACTTGGGTGTAAAACTGACTTTCCACAAGTCAGGAGAAAATTGCCAAAAGGGCACCAAGCCTTACAGGCAGTCCAGTTTCATCAAAAGCATCAAACTGCAGTGATAGCTGCTTCCTAACATTGCTGAGCTCCTTCCTGTCATTTCTGTCCCCATCCAGCAGAGATGTCAGCAGGAGGACATCTCTTATGTGCCACAGCACAGCCTGGACAAAGATCCCCAAGCCAGCACTCAGCCAGCAGCTCTGGGGACAAAAGGCAGCCAGTCATGCCCTGTTCTTTCTGCAGAGTAAGAGCACTGGCTGAGGAAATCATCATGGGGACACTGGAGGAGGATTGTGAAGTTTAGAGGACAGGGGAACATGACTGAGGGCTTCTGTTTAACTGTGAAACAAATGAAATGATGGAAAAGCAGCAAACCCCAAGGCAAGCAGGGGGCTGAGCTGTAAGGGATGGGGAAGCAGTTTGTCCCCTTCAGGGATGTGCTGCTCTTCCCAAAGGGTGTGGGACTCAGAGTGGCACAGGACAGGACCTCCCCTGAGTGCCAGAGGAGCCCACCCCAGATAACACCCATCAGAAGGGGTCAGATTTCCTTTTAATGAAAAAGATTCTTTACCTCTCTACTGCAGATCACTTCTGGAATCTCCCACTGATGATGATTAGAATTTTTCCTCACAGCCAGTCTGTACTCACTTTGCATCTCCCTCAGCACTCCTCCTTGTCCTGTCCCTGTCTGATGTTTACTCTGATCTATTTTGGGAGTGCCATCATATCCCCTCACAGCATCACTCCCAACAGATTAAAGCAATGAAGCTTTTTTGGTCCCCCTTTCGTAAGAAAGGCTCTCCACTCCCTCAGATGTTCCTGGAGCCCTCTCTGCACCTGCTCCAGTCTGAGTTTCTCCTTCTTGAGCCTGGGATGGCACAGAGCAATCCAGAGGAGGCTTGGCCTCACCTCATGCATCTGAGGATCATATTTTTTACCTTTTTCACTGTCACATCACCCTCATGGCTCAGTGATCCCATATTTATTTAAATACATCCATCTTTTTCTTCTTGGTGATCATTGACTGACAAGCTCTTAAAGTGCAATAGAAAAATCACTTTCTAATGTCTGACCCAGAACTGCTTGTCCCCAAATAAGGTGACTTTGCACTTCATGCTCTTGTATTTCATCATATTTCTGCTGTGCCACTTGAGGCCTCCTTTTGTCTGACACAGTGTGGGAGCCACTGTGACCTTTCAGAGCCACCTGGCTGAAAGGACACCAGGATTTTTGTCAAATAAAGAACTTCCCAGGAGGTGCTTGGCTATGGTGCTGGAATAAATGGACTTGAGTGACTGATGTGGGAAGAGTTTCCTGGTGTTTTTAAGCAAGCAAGTTAAGAGACTAAATGTGAAATCCTTTATTACTTTTGTTTTCCTGGAGCTTTTGGATGATGTTTAATTGGAATTCATGCTGGTGGAAAAAGGGGTTTTTTTTTTCCTGAAACTCAAATGTGCCATCAGGGTGAACTTTGGTTTCTACTGAACTTTCAGAGGAAGGTTAGAGAACCTGCTATGCTGAGAAGTGCTTGAATTCATGTTCTCCCCACACAAATCCCACCTGGTCAGCATGCCAGCAAGTGTTCTTTTCACAGGAAAAATACACCCTAAAAGGGGTGTTAAAATTAATTAAAATTTTAAAATTTTAATTTGAGACCTGAAGCAAAAAAAGAAGAACACTTTCCCAAAATAAGAAACTCAAGAATTTTATAGAAAAGAGTTGTTGATTGTGTGCTCTGAAGCTTACCATGAGTTCCCCTTTGCTGCCAGGAGTCTGAAAAGTCTGATGCCACAGAGGAGAAGTCTGATGCCACAGAGGAGAAGTCAGAAGCCACAGAAGATAAATCTGATTCCAAGGATGAAAAATCTGATGCCACAGGTGAAACTGAGGCACACACAGAAGACAAGGCAGATGAAGGGGCTCCTGAAGAGGCTCAGTCTGGCCAGACACCACCAGAAGGTCAACAGGTAATTTCTCCTTTCTCCTTGTGATCTGAGGGTTTTACCTGTGCTAAGCACATGGAACACAAACCCACAAGGCCTCCTGGTGTGCCCCAGGGTGACTGATTGTTAAGTGTCTTTTGGATGTGTTTTCTTTGATATCAGGATGATATCAAACCTGGATAAAACTCCAGGGAACTTGGTTCTGATTCTTGAATAACAGCAGCTGCCTTTTGCCACTTGTTGCCACAAGTTTTTTCTTTTATTTTGATGGTCATTGGGAACCAGAGTCTAGCTATGGAGGGTAATTTAGGACCAGACATCTGAGTCCTGCCTGGGTGAAAAAACAAACTGCTGCTCTCACTGGCCAGCAAGTGCAGTGCTCATAAATCTGGCTGTAAATGTTTGCTGCAGATCTGACAGTGACTTCTCCAGGCTTTGCAGAATTACCTGGAGGAAAGGGAGGAAGGGAGGCCAGTGTTTTCCTTCCTGTCTGCTCCTGCTCTGCTACTGCAGCTCTCCAAGTGCAGCTCAGGGTGTCCTTTAAGGGTGGCTTTATTTGGGTGCTGACTCTTCCCAGGGAGTCAGGCCTGCTGCTCAGGTTCTTCTGTGGCTGGAGATCATCACATGCTCCCTGGGGAATATCCAGCACAAATGCACCATCTCTTACATCTAAGATCAGAATAAATGGAGTTTGGGTTTGTTTTTTTTTTTTTTTCATCTAGCTGCAATGTTTCTCCAGAGGAAACACCTCTCTGTAGGCCTTTCCCCACCTCCCTTTTTAATAGTGACTGATCTGGTCACTGTTGGGCTGGAAAAGCCCCTTTTACACAGCCTTTTACACAGCCTCAGGCACACCTCAGCCACTGGGAAGTCCCACTCATAATTTCAGAACAGTGATGAGGACAGGCAGTCCTCAGTGGGAACTAAATTCCTCCTTAAGGAAAATTATATCCAAGCACTTTTCATGTTGCTGTGAATTTCAGCTGCTGGCAGGTGAGTGCCATCAAACTCCTTTTTTTGGCTCATAAGAGGAGCCAAAAGTGCTGCCTGGCTTGGGTGCCTTGCCCTTCTGGCTGGCATTCTGCTTTAATGCTTTTCAAATGAGAGCAGAATGTTGGAATTTATCTGCAAATGTGTCAGGCAGCTGTGGAGGAGAGGCTTTGCACTGACATCATGCAGCACCACTCCTATACAACCAGCACCTTGCTCCACTTCTCACAGAGAGGATTGGAGTTAAAAGTGGGAAATAGATTTCTTTGTAGTTTTTCAGGGAGGGGAGAGGCAGAGGAGAGAGCACAGAGAACACTTTTTGCCCTGTTCCACCACCCACTTCTCGTGTCACCCAGGACAAATCACTTCAGTGCTGTGGCATCTGCCTGCCTTGCTATAGTTCATCCCAATTATCACTTCTGTTGGGATGGCATGAACCATTCTGTAGGAATTCTGCTATTCTCACTCACTACAGACAGCACACAGAGGACAGGGTTAGATGAGAAGAGCAGCTCTGAGGCAGCTACAGCGAGATGAATTCCACCTTTTGTCTCTGTATCTCATTTCTTGCTTGTAAAAGAAAGTAAAAATGCCATTTCCAAACCTGAGCAGGGTTTGATGAAAGTAAAGATGCTCAAAGGCTGCCAGGTTGCCATCAGAGTATATCTCCACTGGATGTTAAGTCCTAAAGGACAGAGGTATTTTCAACACAAACATTTGAAAGATGGCAGTTTTATGTTCCATGGCTGAATTAATATTCCAGTGGGAATTTAGTGCTGGAATTTTGGCCTTATTTAGCACTGCTGCAAACCACCTCCAAAATGACTCCCATTGGTGGGGTGTAACCAAGCCAGCTTTTCTCCAGTGGCTTTGCAGGAGAAATGTCAGCGCTGTGGAAAATTCTGGAAGTCACCTCAGCCTTTGCCAGTGAGAAACCAGAGCAAAGTGGGGCTGGCTCAGCCCTGGGGCTGCAGGGAGGCTCCAGGCTCCAGGAGGCTCCTCCAGTGCTCAGTAGCAGGAGATGTTCAGTGTGGAGGTTGCAGCTCTCTCCAAATCCTGCTGCTGCTCCTGGGAGGTGCAGAAATGCAGAAACTCCAGGGTTTTTCTGCCTGCATGGATGCAGTGCCCCCCATTCCTGCTTTGTCTCCTTTGGTTTTGAGTTTCCTGAAGAGAAGACTGAGCTCCAGCTCACATGGACCCTGCTGGTCACTCCATGTGCTGGTCATAAATTTTCTGTGGTTTCAGTGTCTGATTTTGACTTCAGATTGAAGCTTGGAGGTTGAAGTGTTTTTTAAGTGGTGTCCCAGTTAAATCAGTTTTCAGTACAGATTAGGCTCCCTTCAGGGCAAAATTATTTTAGAAACATGTTCAAAAATCATATTATAATGCAAGTCTGTATCCTGTCTCAGCAATTCCCCAGGCCATATTTAAACCCTGGCACTGCAACTCACTCCCTGAAGTCATTCCATAAGAACTCAAATCAACCCCTCTGCCTTCTGTGTGGCACTGTGACATTTGCCTCTTGTCTTTGGGCTTTTAGGTAGGATCAGCTCTTTCCCCCCATAGCCAGCTTAGCATCTAACATTAAATTCTATTCTTTTTTATCTCTCTCATCACTTCTGCTCAATCTACAGTCTAAAACCAGCTTGTATTATTTTTTATTCCCTGTTGAGCCAAGGCATCTGTTGCAGCCTACAACACTTAGAACCACAGAACCACAAGCCAGATTCTGAATGGTGATACATAACATAGATAAGACTCTCTATAATTCTGATTATACTTGCATTTTGTAGACCAGCTAATTACCAAAAAAACCCACAAAAACTCCACCTGAACAAGGAAACAAAACCCAGCTCCAAATCTTTGCTTGCCAGTGAAGCAGTTTTGATTGAAGCAACTGAGAAAAAGGGAGCTCAATTTAGTGATTTTACAGTCCTTTTCCAATATAAAAGTTAAGCTTGCATGTGCTTTGTGAGTTAATTTGGAGGACAGTATCTCCAAATGATTCCTGTGAATTACACATAATTTTCCTAAATTCAGTGTTTAACTTCTGCTGTGTTTACCCTGTTTCATTCCTGATATTCTTTCTTTAATTTATCTTTTTAATATTTTCTTTTGTATCTCTTCTGTAGGAAGGCGAGGAAGAACATGCAGCAACAGGGGTATAGTACACCAGGACATTTTATTATCATCTTTTGTTTGTGTGTATTTAATTCCTTTTCAGTCCTTTTGCTTCACTCAACAGCTGGTAAATTCTTATTCATGAAAGTAAACACACCACAGTCATATTCTGCTAGAGATAATGATTGATCCTATTGTGGTGTTATTGACTGGGAACAAAGATGGGCCTTTAATCATTAAAAGCTGTAAATGGAAAGGAAATTGTCTGTCACAGAGCCTTCAATAAAATTTGCCAAGGACTCCCATGACAAGTCCATCTTTGATAATCACTGACTGACACCATGCTGTGATTGCATTTTTAGTGTGAAAACTCATTTTGACAGTTTAGGCAGTTCTGCCCATAAAGGAGATATTTCCCTCACGAGAATTTCTAACACCCAGGTGCAAATCCTCAAACACTTTCCTGCTTTCCCAAACCTCCAGGACCATCCAGTGCCACCCCAGCCCCACCAGCATCACCCCAAACCCTGTCCCCAAGGCCACATCCAGACTGCTCTGGGACAATTCCAGGGACTCCAAACCTCCCTGGGCAGCTCAGCCCAAGGCCTGACCACTCTGCCAGGGAAATTTTCTGTCCCAATCTCCAACCTGAGCCTCCCCTGGTGCCTTTTGAGGCCATTTCCTCTCATTTTTTCCCTGCCCCTCCTGTCAGGAGTTGTGCAGAGCAGTGAGGTCCCCCCTGAGCCTCCTTTTCTCTGGGCTGAACCTCCCCAGCTCCCTCAGCTGCTCCTCCCAGGATGTGTTTTCCTGGCCCTAAAGCTCCTGCAGCCATGAGCAGAGTGCAGAGGTTCCTGGAGAAGCTGCTGAGGGTCACCAAGCCTGGTCAGTCTTACCCTGGCACCACCAACTAATGCTTCAAGCAAGAGAAAGAACCATTTTTTTCCCCCTGTAAAAGTTAATTGACTTGAATATTGGATGGAAGTTGGTAATCTCTGAAAGAAGTGGCTTGTCTGTGTGCTCTCCTGGCCCTGTGTCAGAGTTCTCATGAGATAAAAAAGGCATCTTTCCTGGGGGAAAATGCCCAGAGAGGCAATACTCCCTTGGCATAAAAACTTCTAATCCACAGATGTTCGTGTGACATTCCTGCTTTTGCAGAATGATTCTGCAGTTTAATGTTTTTTCCTGAAAATGGTTCTGTAGTTCAATGTTTTTCCCTGAAACCAGGAATCTGATTCCCAAGCAGGTATTTAAGGAGGATTTCACTTCAGCAACTCAGGTGTGACTCCTGCAGAGACAGGAGGTGCCTGGGAGGAGAAACAAAGATCTGTGCTGCTCATGGATGACCTGCAGTCCTGGCTGAAAGCTCATTATTGATGCTTTGATGGGTTATTTATTATGCCAGGAAGAAATTCATGTCGCTTTTGCAGTCCAAGCATTTTGTGGAGGGGTGGCAGATTGAGATAAAGCTGATTTGTACACATGGGAGTGCCTTTGGACAAGAGATGGCTGGAAGAGGAGCAGAGGAGCCCACAAAGCAATTTCCAGCTGTTTTTCAGAGCACAGCTTCATTTACTCTACAAAGAGAATAAGCAGAGATTGTTGTCTGTGTGACACACAGATTCCAGCTTTCAGATATGTGTTGATTGAAGCAAAGGGCTGTTGTCTTTCAATTGTGTCATTTCTCCTGCATAAAAGAGAGAAATAAGAACTTCAGAGATGGAAACCAGGCTCTATTATCTGATTCCAGGTGATTTTTAGATCATTCAGGAGTCTAGTTCCTGTGCCATGAATCTTTAGTTGTTTACTGCTTCAGGGAGGTGTATAATTAAAAATACTAAACTTTTTGTCACATTCACACATATTTCATATTCTTATTTTGATTTTGAGCACCTATTTGCAGCTTAACCATGTGTTCTAACCTAAGAAGAGGGTTTTTACATTCCAGCATGTGCCTATAAACTCCACAAAATCCCTGCCATGTTGAGATTAAAAACTCTATGCATTAATTCTGTTTTTGAATCTCAAAGAATACTGCATTTACTAGAAACAGAACAGTTGTAAAAGCAGAGCTTTGCATTTCAAGACTGTTTATTTTTTTTCTTTCAATTCCTATATGGTAACTACAAATATTTTCTATTAAATAAAAAAGGAAGAAGAAGAAAAGCAGGGAGAGGGAGAAGAAAAGGAAGAGGTGGAGGAGCAGGAAGAGTCTTAGTACAGTTCCCTACGACACAATATTTCTTGAACAGGTTTTCAGGTAAATATTGAGACATCAAGCACAGTTTCTAAATACCCTTAAATTAATATAAACTTGCAATTTTTGTAATTATTGTTGTGGATGGGCCAAGTGTCCATGCACAAAGTACCCAGCTGATGACTCAAAAGTATATTTAGCTGTTGTAGCTGGTATTTCACATGGAATAAGAATTCTTGCCTCTCCTCTCTTACTCAGCTGCTGATTCCACAGCAGGTTTCAGGAGCTCTATGCCTCACATGAATTCCTCTCTCAAATTCAGTTGGAAACTTAAAATACTGGTAAGAGAGAGGAGCCTGACGAGAAATATGACTCATATAAAATTACTGAAAATAGGCCAAATTTAAAACCACAAAAGAGGAAGCACCTGGCAGGCAGTGTTTGTCCTGTATGGATGTGTGAACACACCAGCACTGCTCAAGTTCTGTTAGCATGTGCTTTCTAATTTTAATTTTCAGGTTTTTTAGGTTTTCTCCTTCCTCTGTCCCTTCTCCCCTGCGCTGAAATACAGATCAGAAAATCACTTACTGGGGGGAAACTCAAACTTACAAGAGAGTTGGAATTTCCAGCAGATTTTCCATTGGGTGATGGGACCTCCTCGTGATCACGGACACAAAATGCTCTTTTTAGGACCCTAAAGAATCATGGAATGGTTTGGGTTGGGAAGGACCCTAAAGATGATCCAGTTCCACCCCCCTGCCATGGGCAGGGACACCTTCCACTGTCCCAGGCTGCTCCAAGCCCCATCCAGCCTGTCCTGGGCTGGATCCCCAGCTGACTCATACTCTGAGGTAGCTGCCAAAGGTTTCACCAGCCAGGTGCAGGTGGGATTTCCCAGCACCTCACCAGGGCAGGAAATCCATCACTTCTTTCATGCTGCCTCTCCCAAATCCGGGTTCATCTCTTGCAGGGGGATTAATTCATCACAGCCCTGTGCAGAGTTCAGATCTGTAACTTCACAGGAGTGCTGAGTTCTAATTGAATTCTCTTTGTTTTCGTTCAGGAAGCACCAGCTGGAGCCACCCCACCAAAGAAAAGAAAATCCCTTTCTCAAGCAAAGCACCACTACCTTTAGTGCCTGTGTGAACATAAAAACACAAACAGAACACAGCCACCACACTGTCCCACCTGTAACCTGTAACCTTTATATATATATTTGGTATTCCAGTTGCTTGTTAAAATGGATCTGATGTCTGACAGATGGTATTTCAGTCAATTGTTGTGTGTTGGAGTAGTTTTGTCCATGTCACATTTAGATTGTGAGCTCTCCAGGGCAGGAACCACGTCTCTCTCCATGTCCAAACACTGCCAAGCACTTTGCTGCCACTCAGCAGCACTCACACCCCTGATGACTTCAGAGGAAAAGAAATTCAGCACTGAAAACTGCAAAGAGGCTTCCTGTACACAAGCCATGTGAGTCACTTCTCCCTCAGCTGGCATTTGAAAATGATTGAGATTCCCATTGTGCAGCAGTTGAAATAAATGTGTTTTCTGTCGTATCTGCTCTTTGTCTGCAAAAGCATTAATTTCACTCTGCTGCAGATGTTTTCTCCATCTTTAGGGTTGTGGGCTGAACAAAGCCATGGAATCATAGAATCATGGAATGGGTTGGGTTGGAAGGGACCTTAAAGATCATCCAGTTTCCACTATTTGAGGTTGCTCAGAGCTCCATCCATCCTGGCCTTGGACATTTCAAAGGATGGGGCAGCCACAGCTTCTCTGGGCAACCTCTGCCTCTTAGAATAAAAAAATTATTCTCAATATCCCATCTAACCCTACTCTCTGTCAATGTGAAGCCATTCCCTGTGTGCTGTCCCTGCATGCCCTGGAAATTGTCTCTCTCCAGCTTTCCTGGGGCTCCTGCAGGCCCTGCAAGGCCACCCTGAGCTCAGCCCAAAGCTTCTCCTGTGCAGGTGAACAATCCCAGCTGTGCCAGCCTTTCCTCCCAGCAGAGCTGCTCCATCCCTCTGCCCATCCTGGAGCCTCCTCTGGGCTCTCCGCAGCAGCTCCAGCTCCTTCCAAAATCATCAGCCCAAGGTGCAGCAGCGGCCAAGACCCAGGGAAATGCTCTGTCAGCAGGATGGCAGGGATTTGCAGCCATACAAACCTGGCTGTGTTGAACAGGCCACAGCCACAGCCTGGTGCAGTCTGGTCTCAGGGAAGACCTGGGGATGTGAGAAATACAGAGAGAACAGCAGCTGGAGGGGATGAAACAGCTGCTCCACAAGGAGGCTGAAAAGACTTTTCAATTTGGAGAGGAAGCCAAGGAAGCTACAAAAAAATCATAAAGATGAATGCAGAAGAGTGAGTCAGAAAATCCTGCAAAACCATAATGAAAATTAGCAGACACAATGAAATTAATAGATTGGCTTGAAAGAGAAAAGAGAGAGAATCTTTTTATGGAGCGAGTCAGGAAATGTTGGAATTTGTGGTCACAGGATGTTGTGGAAACTGACAATGTCAACGTGAAGGGATTGGACAATGTCAGGAACAGCAGGGTCATAAATGGATACTAGAGCCTGGCATGTGTCCACAACATCCCAAATCCAAGGAATCACAGATCCTGGTGACTGGGGGCAAAAGGATTTAAATATTGCTATTCCTAAATAGTTTTGCCCATTTCCACTTTCAAAGTCTGAGTACCAGCTTAGGTGAGCCACTGATTTTAGCATTTCTTACATTCCTGCAGGTAATTTCTCTTCCTGGGGGAAATTTTCCCCATCTCACCAGCAGCCAAACCAGGACTCCATTCATTGCTGCAGAGGTTTTGAGCAGAAGGACTTTGGGGACCATGGTGGACAATATAAACACAGAACTGTTAACCACTCTGGAAATGTGGTAAATCCCATGTGTGCTGTGCCTTGATGCATTCCCAGGCTGCCTGAACTCCCTGTGGCTGCTGAACCACAAATTCCACTTTCCCCCCAGAACAAAACCCCTGAGAGCACTCAGGATATCAGGCAGGGCTGCAGCCTTTGGGCTTGAGACAAAACCCACCACACTTTGCCCATTCCTGTTAAGGCAGAAATACAGCAGTGATCTTCTGGACAGGGTCTAATCTGGGAAGGCTGGGAGGGAATGTGAGGAATGCTGAGCCTCCCACGTGGGAGGGACACACTGCCCTGGTCTTCAGCTGGTGACTGGGGTGAGACAGCAAACAGGACAGCAAAGATCCTGCGGCCAGCACAGAAATTTGGGATGTTCCTTGGCATTCCTTGGGATCAGCACATGCTGGCCATCCTTCCTGCCAGGAGAAAAGGGGGCTGTGAGTATGCCAAGGATAAACTGGGGCCTGCTGCTGCTCGGTGGTTTTAGCCATAATGTTAATTCTGCTTACATAAGCTTAATACTTTCTGCAGTGATTTAGTGCAAAGAATTCAATCTTTTCTGAACTGCGGCTGAATGAAAATCAGTAGCATGAATTTGTGAGCTATTGGCTTAAATGCACTTGGAGGAATACTGCCTGCATTTATATATTCCTGTTTTACTGGGAAAAGGCAACTGCAGCTGCTTAGCACAGAGTACACAACATTTCACAGGCTCCAGGAATCCATGGATGCAAAATCCTTCCAGTGCACCCCAGTTACACACAAACCAGCAGGCTGTACTTTTTTTTTGTTTTTTTTTTTTGGTGACACTTTGGTATGTAAAGCATTTTCCTTGGATGATTGATGCTTGAAACTTCTCGTATCCTGAAACAAGCTAAAATTAGAAAGGCTTCAAGCTATGCTTCCTACAGATCCATATATGTCATAGGATGTGGCTGTTGGCACTTTGGGATGATTGATTGTCAAGTTTCACAGGCTGCTGAAGTGTCAAAGACATGATTTTGAGTACCATGGCAAGCAACAGACTGGATAGGGTTAGTCAATTGTTTGTTTTGTGGGAAAATAAATATGAGGTGCTGCACTGTGTTGCTAATAAAGGGTTTGGAATGGCAGGCCCAGAAGGGAACTTGGGCCATGGGTGAGAGCACTTCTGAGCCCACAAACTGTGTGAGAGATTTTCTCCTAAGAAAGAAGAAAAGTTTCTCTTTGTGAAATTCATTGGAGAGAAATGAAACTCTTCAGGAGCTTTGCCAGGGCAGAGCCACCCCCCAGGCAGGGTTTCTGGCCACTTTTCCAGCCACCACATCTGTTCATCCACCTTCCAAGTAATAAAACTTGCTTACAGTCTTCTCTTTAATGTCAGGAGATAAGTCTGTCTGTCTGCATCCTTTGGCAGCTTTGGGAGGCTGGAAATATGCTTGGCATATCATCTGGGAAGCTGAGAACTCCAGACAGTCATTCCTTCAGGAAGCAGATTGTGAGTTTTAGGTTTGATGTCAAATATCCTGGAGGATGCTTGTTGTTCCCATCATTGCCAAGCAAGAAGCACGGGGAGGGAGCAGCAAATGAATTAATGAATTTCTGTCTCCATTTAGCTCAGGGGAAAGGAACTCATTGCTTACTCAAGGTGCAGAGTTGGGTGACACAAATCAAGGGCACAGGAGGTGAAATTAGGTGTGGAGAACCATGGTGATGCCTTTCTGTCACTGAGAATTTGGGATCATTTAGGTGTGAAAAGACCCTTGAGATCCCTGAATCCAACCATAAACTTAACACTGCCAACCCCATCACTAAAAAAGCTTCCTTAAGGGTCACATCTTCACTTTTAAATATCTCCAGGGATAAAAGTAGGAAGGAACTGTGGAGAGATGAAGGATGAATCTCTGAGAACACCTGGGACTGCTTTAGAGGCCACAGTTTCTTTGAGGCACTGTACCTTTCTCTGTCAGGATGTTTGATTTGTGAGGAATAACTCTGTCACTGGATTTAAGAGAAGCTGAGTTTTGATACCAGCTTGTCCAAGCTCATTTTTGACCACAGACTACTGTCTGGGTTTGAAAAGGCAGGTGTCTGCTAAGACAGGAGTCTCCCTTGAAATGGAAAATGGAAATCCCCTCCCTCTGAACTATTATAATTTTGAAATTAAGGGGCTCTCAGGCAAAGATATGGGAGTAGGAATAACAGTTCTTTATTAGGAAAAAAAAAAAAAAAAAGCAATAGGAGAAACAAAAAAATCCAAAACCTTGACAGAGTCAGACCATGCCCTGTTCCCCTGTGTGTCAGGGGGGTGGCACAGCCCCATCCCATGGGGGCTCAGCCCTCCTGCAGTGCCAGCTGTGGCTCTGCTGGAGCAGGGATCCTGCACAAGGGGGGAGTTTTCCTCTGCAGCTCCAGGGCTGCTGGAGATGGGCCTGGGCTCCCTCTGGCCATGCAGGGCAGCAGAAGCTGCTCCTCTGGCAATGCACTGGGCAAAGGCTGCTGGGCTGTGCCAGCACCTCAGATTGGATCCAGGTAGGAATGCTTGGCTCCTCCCCTGGGCAATGCAGCATCTCCCCATGGGATGATGGGATTGGATCAGCCCTGCAGGGACACTCAGTGGCCATGGACAGCAGAGATCTCCTGCAGGGAGGATTGGCTGGGGGAGAGAGAAAGAAAAAACTGCCCCATGAACAGCAGAGAACTGCCCCAGCTCTGACAGATGGGAATTGAATTCACACTCAGCTAAACCTGAGAAAATTACCCAGTTAACTTCCTTTCACCTTTATGAGAAAAGTGAGAAAATACTGCAGAGAATTTGTGGCAATAAAATCAAAGTATCAATGCACTGGTGAAAAGATGAAAGCATAACTGCACCTTCTTCCTTTGGTAAGATGATTTGCTCCTGGGTTGTCCATTCCCCTTGAAAAATGATCACTTTTTCCACCCCATCATATTGATATCTGACAGCTATCAAACCTTCTCCTTCCCATGGTATTTTCACTGCTTTCTCACCAAACTCTCCTGTTAAGCAGCCTGCAGGAGAAATGGCTGAGAATATGCTCACCCTCACCTTCCACTCCTTTTTGCTCTCTGGATGGCCATAAATGTCTCCTCCACCTTTGATGCTTCTATGATTTTGTGACATTTTGAAGCAGAACAGAACTCATCTGTGTTTCCTACTTCACTGGAAAAGTTTGGAGCAGATTTCTGAGGCTGCAGAGGCCACTTCCTTACGTGTGCAGAGGAAGATGTCACACAGAGTGCCTTCCTGCCAGCTAGCTGGGGTTTGCTGAGAGGTGTGGAAAAAACCTGTTAGCACCTCTCCTTCCCCATCAATGCAATCCCTCAGGAGAACCTAGCCCCAGAAAAAGAACCATTGCACAAAACAATGCAAGAACCTAGAAGAATGTGTTTTTTTTTTTTTTAAGTTGGTTGTTTGGTGGGGTTTTTTTGGTTTTTTTTTTGTTTGTTTGTTTGTTTGTTTGTTTGGGGTTTTTGTTTTTTGTTTTTGTTTTGTCTTGGTTTGGTTTTTTTTTTTTTTTGGTTTGGTTTGGTTTGGTTTTTTTTCCTCCTTAGCTGTGTAGCACCAGAGTGGAGCTCAGGGGATCAAAGAGAAACCAAATCCCAAAGAAGGGATCTTCTCCCTCTCCATAAATCCCTAACAGGAGGGTGGGGCCAGGTGGGGGTCAGGC